TCCCAAAGGCCCTATCTCCAAATATCCTCACATTGAGGATGAGGTTTCAACCTCTGGATCTGGTGTAGCTGGGGGTGTGGGAGGGGGCGGCACAAACATTCAGTTTACGGTACCTTATCAGAAAAGGAAGAGACACCAGTAGTGTGCATGCACAGAAGAAAGGCCATATGAGGACACAGTGAGAAGGCAGCTACCTGCAAGCCAGGGAAAGAGGTCTCAGGAGAAACGAACCCAGCTGGCACCTTGATTTTGAACTTCCAGCCTCCAGAGCTGTGAGAAATAAGTTTGTATTGTTTAAGCCACCCAGCCTTTGGTATTTTGTTACAGCAGCCCTAGCAGACTAATATATTTGGTCTCTTCTTGTTTGCCATTATATGTTTTGGACTAAGCACCATGCCTAGCACATAGTAGGTCCTCCAAAAATATACACTTAGGGGTCACCACCTTCTCTGAAAAGTCTTCCCTCACCCTTCTCCCTCCCCCAGCCCTGGCTTAAGTGCCCCTTCTGGGCTTTAGTTGCTACACTTTCCACTTGGTTTTGGAAGGATATGTTTTAAGGTCTAATTCCTTTCTATAAGGTTAAATCTTTTAATTTAAAGATTTTGCAGGGGCTAAGTCTTCCCTGGGCGTGGCACAGATGGCATATGCTCTCGGAGTTTAATAAATATTTGAGTGAATGCAAGTCTTCTGACCCCTACACATGAGCCCTGGTTCAAGACGACCTGAGTTCTAAGCAACATCTCTAAATCCCTGTGCTTGGACACTGAGCCTCAAAAGTAATTATGGCGGACTTCCCTGGTGGTGCAGTGGTTAAGAATCCGCCTGCCAGTGCGGGGGACACGGGTTCGAGCCCTGGCCTGGGAAGATCTCACATGCGGCGGAGCAACTAAGCCTGTGAGCCACAACTACTGAGCCTGCACTCTAGAGCCCGCGAGCCACAACTATGAGCCCTTGTGCCACAACTACTGAAGCTCGCACGCCTAGAGCCCATGCTCCACAACAAGAGAAGCCACCGCAATGAGAAGCCCGAGCACCGCAACAAAGAGTAGCCCCCGCTCGCCACAACTAGAGAAAGCCCGCGCGCAGCAACGAAGACCCAATGTAGCCAAATAGAAGTTAATTAATTAATTAATCATTTTTTAAAAAAGTAATCATGGCTTTGGGTTTCTCCAGAAATCAAAGCTTGGGTAAAGTCCATTATGCTCTGAAAAGTACAGGGTCGTTTTGATGCCTGTTATGAGCACATGTGCAGTTGGGCTGAGCTCCTGAGTCTTAGTCATCTGCCTGGTTCCAGCCGGACTTCTTGCTGTACCTCAGACACACTAAGTTCACTCCTGTCTCAAGGCCTTTGCTCTTGCTACCTCTTCTGGGAACACACTTCCCGCAGACTTTCCCAGTGCAAATATCCAGCCTTAATTTTCAGTATCTACAGCAGAGTCAAGGCAAGTGATGTTGATTGCAAGGAAACAACTCAGTTTCAGAACACTGGAGAAGAGAAGAGATGCCACTGTTCTATTAGTTCATTTAAAATCCTCTTAACAGGGGCTTCCCTGGTGGTGCAGTGGTTGGGAGTCCGCCTGCCGATGCAGAGGACACGGGTTCGTGCCCCAGTCTGGGAAGATCCCACATGCCGCGGAGCAGCTGGGCCCGTGAGCCATGGCCGCTGAGCCTGCACATCCGGAGCCTGTGCTCCACAAAGGGAGAGGCCACAGCAGTGGGAGGCCCGCATACCGCAAAAAAAAATAATAATAAAAAATAAAATAAAATCCTCTTGACAGTCCTGAGAGGTATTTATTATCATTATTCCCACATTACAGATGAGGAAATTGAGGCCAAGAGAGGTTAAGTAACCGGCCAAAGGTCTCACAACTAGCAAGTAGCAAGGCCAGGACATGAATGCAGGCAGACTGGATCCAGTGTCCAGCTTCTTAACCACAAGGCTTCTCAACATATATTAAAGTGTAGTTAACATAGGGCCTGGCATGGGGTAGTTGTTCCATAAGCCATAGTTATTTCTCTACTCCTCTCAGACAGCTTACTCTTCAAATCTTACAGTCCAGCCTCCAGAATGAAACCAACAACCGTTCTGACTCCATCCTGCCAGAACCCAGGGTCCCTCACTCCATCTTCTCATGCTTGTACACACTGGGTAGTAGCTGGAATTGAGGGGTCTCGAAGTTCCAATCCAGGATCCACCATTCACTAGCTCTGTAAACATAGAAATGTTACATCCTGCCCTGGGTCTCAGTTTCCTCACCTGTAAATTGGGGACAATAACAACCCCTATATCCTAGAATTATTATAAGGATTCAGTGAGATGATACATGCAGAATGTTTTCCACCTAGCCTGGCTTATAAAAAGTGTACAATAAATTGTAGCAATTATGATTAAGGCTTCTCAATGAGAAGCCCCCAAAGGCTCTGAGGCTGTGAAATACTCTCCCAACCACCTTTAGGGCCAAAGTTGGGACCAGATGACCTCATTGCTTGCAGACAAGGCTGGCTGGGTATGAGGACTTCTCACCTGACCCAACAACACAGGATCTACCAGACACATACTTCCTGGAGGTAATGTGGTTCAGGGAGTGACCTCTTGGGTCTGATAGACCTGGGTCTGAATTCCAGCTTGGATTTCTCCTCAGTGCCTCAGTTTCTTCGTTTGTCAAATGGGAAGGGAGCAGTGTGAGGAGTGATTAAGAATGTGGGGTGTGGATTCAGCATATTAGGTATGACTCATTCTACTCCTTGCTCAGCCATGGACCAGCTATGTGAGCTGAGTGTCTTCACCTCCATGAGCCTCTGTTGTCTGTTCTAGTGAGTGTTGTCATCATTCCTCTTCCTAGAGTGGCTACGAGGATTCCCCAGGACCATGTGTGCCCACGCTCTGGACACTGTAGCTGTTAGGATGACAGGCGTTGTGTATCAGTGGTTAGGAGCTTAGGCTCTGGAGTCAAACTGCAACAGGCCTAATTCAAATTCCAGCTCTGACAATTACTCCTGGTGAGATCTTAGGGAAATCAGGTTCTTCTGTCAGCCTCAATATACTCATCTGTGAAGTGAGAAAAATAACAGTAAACATCTGATACAGCTTATGAGGATTCAGTCAGTGGATGCATGTAAAACACTTAAAACTGGCCTGGTTCAGCGTCAGTGGCCAAAAAGTGGCAAAGATATTATGATGCTGATTTTTAAAATATCCTTTTCTAGAATGCAAATGCATTTGCCCCAGAATTGGAGGAGTTGAAAATATATGCTGAGTGCTGAGCCTTCAGGATGCGATTCAAGTCTAAAAGAAGAAAAACAAACAAGCAAAAAAACTCATTTATATGATGAAGTAAACCAAGGTCATGTGACCACATCAGACCCCATTCCACATCTATATAAGATCAATCCTACTTAATTGTAGTGTAGCTCGGATGTTGGACTCTCACCAGAACAATGTCGGAGTCCCAGCAATGCCCATACTCACTGTGGAACCTGAGACAAGTGACTTCACCTCTGACCCTCAGCGTTTAACCCGGCTGGTAATAGACTCCCTCACAGAGCTATTTAGAAGGATTCAGTGAGATGATGCACAAAGCGTAGTACATGGAAAGGGCTGTTGTTACTACTACAGCGCCCGTCTTGCCCCTGTTATTTGAAGGGTTATCTCCCGCGTGCCAGGCGCTCGCCTTAGGTGGTCTCGGTTCCCACTGTCCTAAGCTCCTCTAGTCGAGTCACGCCCTCCTCAGCGGGGCCCCTTCCAGCTCCTCCCCCCACCCCACTCTCCATCCCCATTTCCCCACTAGCTGTGGGGAAGGAGACGCCAGACAACAGTCGCCAGAACCCCGAAGCTGAACAGAAGCAAAGGGACAGAATTCTAACCGCCGCCCGAAACCATTGGGCTGGGCTCCCTCCTCCAGGTCCCCTGATCAATCAAAGGCGAAGAAGCAAGCCTCGGGACCAATCAGAAGTGGAAGCGGTGGAGCAATGCCCGCCTCCTTAAAGCGCCCTCGCGCCTGATTGGATGTGTCTAGGCTAAGTCACTTAGGAGTGGGGCCAGCTGATCGACGGTGCAATGGCAGCGGGGCCGGGGGAAGAAGGGAGGCAGTCGGCCAGCCACAGATTGGTACGGTGTGTCAGCACCAAAGCCCTGCCTAGTCAGAAAGCCCGCTGGCCGGGTTCTAACCCCGGGCCAGTTAATGGTGGGGCAGCGTAATGGGTCATTCTCTTTACGGTGTGGTGGGGGCTGGTACATGAAGTACGCAGTTAATTCTGACTCAGCAGACAGCTGAGGCGTCATCGTGTATTTGCAGCGCGAGCATCTAGGCCAATGAGGGGGGTCAAGGCACTGCCCTCTCTTGTGTCTTCCCTGTCCCCGCATACTTCCGGGTGAGGCAGGGTGCGTTCTGCAGCCAATTAATGGTGGTGCAAGGCAAGAGGCGGGAAAGGGGAGCTGCCCACTGGCACCAAAAGCCTGATGGCCTCCTATCCAATCCCAGTCACTTCTCCACAGATTGTAAGGGGTTGAGAGAAAGGTGAAAGGGTTTGCAACGAGGACTACACAGGATGGAAAGATAGAAGCAAGAAAGCAGTGGTATCCCTGAGCACTTTCAGAGGGAGCCTCCAAAGCTATGCAGGTGAAGGAGGTTCAGGCCCCAGACTCTTCATAAAGAGGGTGGGACAGAGCAATCTGCGCAGCCAGAAAGCATTGAGGACCGGCTGGTGGATGAGCTCTCAGCCTTAGAGCCCTGAAGCCTAAGTCCGCGGACCAATCAGATTTAAGGCCCTGTCCCTCCACAACGCCAGCCAGGTGGGCGCGAGCTCGGCTCCGCAGCCAATCAGCGGAGGTCGCGAGGCAGAGTTGGGGACCCGGGGGCCGGGAGGGGGAGGGGCGGGGGTGGTGAGGAGTGGAGCTGTCCTAGGTGCCTCCCAGGCTGTTGTGATCCCTCAGCCGGCGGGAGCCAGGAAAGAGGGTGTGGCCAGCACTGCGGCCAATCAGCGTCTGCCTCGGGATCCAGGGCGACCAGCGAGCTGTGCACGCGGCCCCGGCCTCGAGCTCCGAGCCTCGCGCCGCTCCACTTTCTAACGGCTACTCGGGCTTGTGCCGCCCGGAGTGTATGTGGGGCGGAGTGAGGAGAGGAACAGGGTCTGAGTCGGTGAGTGCCATGGATTTTCTTTCTTTTCTTCGGGCTTGGGCCTGGCCCAGGCAAAGCTGAGGTATGGGGGCTTGAGTGGTCGCCCTGAGGATGAGGATCGGGAAGTGGGGGTGAGGGCGTTAGGCTTTGGGGACTCCCTCTGCCCTGGAGAGGCTGGAAATGGGGCCTCCTGGGCACCGTTGGGCCCGGCTGGGCAGAGACCAGGCCGGCATGTCCCCGGTCCCTGAGACAGCCTGATTTGGAAGTGTGTTGTGGGGCTGGTGGAGGCACTTGGAGCTCTGTGTGGGGTCACTGGCCATGAGGTATGGCCTCTGACCTATGAGAGGTTGTCCGGGGTCTCTGGACTGAGACTGGATCTGGTGACTGGAGAGGTCTGTGACTCTCCAGAGGTTCTTGGGAGTCTTTGACCAAGAAATGAAACTAGTGAGAACGTGAGAGGTTTTCTGGAGTCCCTGGATCCAGCCTGGGCTGACAGTGAGTGTTGATGAAGTCGAAAGCCCAATGGGAAGTTGTCAAGAGTCATTGCATCCTGGCTGTGATGGGAACGTGTGGCTGCAAGACTTCTGGGGGACTCTGGCTTCTGGGTTGGGGTGCTCATGTAAGATTTTCCAGGACTGGGTCCAGGTTGGACAACGTGGCCAGGAGGTTAGGGCCATGGTCTTCTGGAGGTTCCGGGGTGGGGAGGGTGTCTCTGAATCCCAGCAGGTTTTTTGCCCTCCATGAAGTATTACTGTTTTGTGGTGGCTCTAGATAGAACCAGGATTGAGTCGTGTCTTGGGCCTTTTAGTCCCTGTTCCCATTCTTCCGCAAACTGTTTCTGGTCATTCCCAGAAGACATCAGGCTCTAAGCATGGGGCAGCTGCTTGGAGACGATGGACGTTGTACTGGAGCATAGGAGGTGTGTGAGATATCCTGCTCTTTAGGAAATCACCCAGGTTGTCTTTACTGAAGATCTTTTTATACTTATGAGGCAGGATGTTGATATCTAATTTCACTCCGCTCTTCAAGCTCTACCTGGTACTAAAGCTTTCAGGGTACTTTCATGTACACCCAGAGTTCTTAAACCAAGGGTGGAGGTGCATGGGGGGAGTCTATGAGTGGATTACAGGGTCTATGAGCTCCTGGAAATAATCCAAAAAACTGTATGTGTGTTGGCGGGGGGCAGGCGGTAAAAGCAGCCACAAGGATGAGGAGTGAAGCCTGTCCAAGGGTGAGTTTCAGAGCAGTCTGTGACTCTCTTGTCATTCATATGCAAAATGGTATAAGAATCTACAATTTTCTGATGTAAAGAGTTGATTCCACGACTTACAATTTTAAAAAGCATAGTGACCCCCTGAGAGGTTAAGAACCACTAAAATAAAGCAGGCTCCCATATTATTTATGGGGCTTAGGCAAGACTAGAAATGGAGATTTCCCCTCTTATCCCCACATCTGGTGTTGGCGCATACTTCAAAGTGTCTCACATACTAGCCTGCATGTCCAAGTTCCGTCCACGTGCCCCTCCCACCCAATCAGGGCCACACAATTACATCAATCACATAGCCCACTCAGAAGAGTATAGACCTGGGTCTGAGGCCAATGTAAACCCAGGAAGTGGGCTATTTGGGCCAGGAGGTCCAGGGTTCCGAGTTCCCAGAGCATGGTCTAGAATTGGGGGGCACAGGTTCCAGGGGGGTACTTCCTAGATACCCTTGGACTCCTCAGCCCAGGGGGAGGGACACAACTAGAGGTCAGAGTGGGGCCCTCTGTCTGGATTTGAGGCAATATGGATATTCAATACTGGTCTTGAAAATAGTCCCTATGAGGAAGTTGAGGGTCTCAGAAGAGTTAACCCCATGTTAGTGCTGAAGAAAAAGGCAGTCCACTGTGAGGATGCAGTGGAACCTAAGTTGTTTTTACTTCTCATCTGGTTGTTTTGCCACTTAATCCACAAAAGGTGTGCTATGATAGGGTCTCTATGATCTAGATTCAGCTCACCTGCCTATTACTATACCCAGATCTTGGGCTATGTAGAACATAGATTTAAGGGAAGAAAGAAACTCATTCATTCTGTGGTGCCTCTCCTCTGGTATGTGTTGGATGTACTTAACTAACTAACTAAAAAGAGTGAACATCTGAAGATTTATGTAAGGTTTGGATAATTGGTTTTAATCTATATAAAATGATGCAGGGAGTTTAACCACCTTAATTTGCCGAAAGTGATGTGTTCCTGGGAAGAGTGGAAAGTTCATAGAACTTTTCTGAATTGAATCTTGTTTAACCTGGCTTTTGGAGGTACTCAATACCTCAATACGTGAGACCAAGGGAGAATATTTTCATAAAACAAATAATCATCCCTCTAATTGGCATATTCTGATGGTTTAGTTTTAATTATAATATTTGAAGAGACTCTATACTTGTTTTGCTGTGTTGACATTTTTACAGCAAGCTGGGTTGTGCCTGAAGGTCAAGTCTATCAGTAAGAATAAAAGATATCAGATTTCAAACTTTATTTAGTAATATGAATATTAGAAAGGATTGAGAGGCAAAAATCATACCTCCTTTTCCCACATTCTTTTCTTCCAATTATATCCTACCTAACCTCTCCCACCTACGGTACCCTCTCCCAGGATGCAGGTTTGTGTCCTCATGACCTGTGGTTTCCTGGCTCCACCCCAGAGAGACAACTGCAGGAGATCCCTACTGAGTCAGCCTGGGAAGTGGAAGGTGGGCAAGGTTTCTGAGGCTGGGGAGGAGAGTTCTTTCAAGAAGAGAAACACAAGACTTCCCTGGTGGTCCAGTGGTTAGGACTCCGGGCTTCCAATGCAGGGGGCACGGGTTCGATCCCTGGTCAGGGAAGTTTTGCATGCCGCGCAGCCAAAGAGAGAGAGAGAGAGAGAAAGAGTCAGCAGTGTCCCTACCCTTCCAAGTCAAAGAGGTATTTGCTTCTGCTTCTGCTATCACTGCTCAGTGCAAGGTGGTTTGGACTGTGCAGTCAAGAATGTCAAGAATGTAGGAAGGAAGAAGGGCTGAGGTGTAGAGGGCCCTAGAGATACCTCTAAGGAGGCAGTCTCTAAAGGGATATCCTTAGATGGGGGTAGACACCAAGTGGGAGGAAAGACGGGGTTTCCCAATCTTGGGGGCTTTTGTTCACTGAATGGAGAGTCCCCTTGCCCCTTGCCCGCACTTCTAGGTTTCCTGAGAGCCCGCTGGCACTCCCTGTCAACTGCGTAAGACGATGCTGCCCTTTGAGCACAGCCTCCAACTCTTTTGAACATCAGTGGGCAACCACCAGTAGGGGAGCCGAGTCATGGGCACATGATGTAGGCCCGGGAGTTGAGGGGACTCTACTCCACTGGGTGATGATGTAATCTTCCAGACCCCTATACCTACACTTGGGGTTTCTCCTTCATGGCTTTCCCCACTTATCCCATATCCTCAGGGAGTGTGTATTTCTGTATTGGAGGAAGGATGTTTCCCTCTGTATACCTACATGTCAGGGATTGGTGCATTTCTGTGTCCAAATCAAGCGTCTTTTATATGGGTATCTAATGAGTCCCTGGGTGTGGTGGTGTGAGGAGTTAGAAAGCTCAGAAATGGAAAATATTTAACGACCAGAGTAGCAAATGAATACAGCTTGCCCATTTGCATTTTCCCTTTCACTCTGACTCATCTTCCCCTCTCCCCACACTATTATTGCCCCTCCACTAGCCCCACCCATTGGCACACCCTGTCTGATCTAGGAGGGATTAACATCCGTTTGCACCCAAGCTAGAATGAGAGGTAGAGGGAAGGCATATTAGGTCTGGAGAGAGAGTAGAAGGATGGTCTGAACATTTGGGGGTCCTGGAGCCAAAAGGTGAAACAGGAGTTTTAGAGACATAATATTTGAGTCTAGGAGGGGACCAGAATCTAAGAGAGAAGCCTAGGGGGAACCAGACTGTGTCTTGTCACCAGAGCAGCCTACCAGTGCCTGACTCATTAACCTTCCAGTTATTTATTAGGCACATATCGTAAGCGATTTAGCAGCAGTTGTTCTGTGAATGAAAATTCTGCCACAGGACGAGGAATAATGAACTAGTAAGAAACAGAGAAAGAAATTTGAGTCTCTCAGAGCTCATCTTTTCCCCAGGTTAAGGAGTGCTAAAGTGTGAAAAGAGGGGAAATCTCTGAGGACCTTCACCCCCTGGGCAGGAAGTCAAAGAAACCTCGGAGTCCTGATTTCAGAGAAATGTCATTTGTCATCAACCCAAGAAAAGGAGTTTTTCTCTTCGAAGACCACCACAGGCCCTTCCTGGGGTTGCCCCCATCAGAGCCTGATGGGAGGATCTGAGTCACTCACACACCCAGTCCCCAGTGATGTCCCAGATGACAGGGGTCATTCCCACAGAGCAGTTGAGGCTTCCTAGTACCAAGGCAGAGAGAGGGAGGAGGAGGCATGCTTTTGGCCTCCTGCACTCTCTCCTTAGAATGCAGATGTTTCAGTCCTTTTTACTTCTGAGGTAGTAGGAAGAGCTTCCAGCTGCTAGAGATCTACTGACACCGCTAAGAAACAGAACTAATACTATTTGAATGATGCTATGTACCGAGAAACCACTTTCACATACATCATGTCATTTCATCTTCACCCCACCTCCAAATGAGGTAAGCAGAGGTTATCCCTATTTCATGGATGAGTTAACTGAGGCTCAGAGAGGTGACTTGCCCAAGGTGACTCAACTAGTAAATGGCAGAGATGAGACTCAAACGCAGGTCTGATTATCCCAAAGTTCTTATTGCTTTAGATACACTTCTTTGACTCTAGGGGTTCACAAATGAAATAAGGAGACAGGAGGTTAGGAGGCAGAATGCCAGGGCTCTGGAGGGGAGGAGTGGTCTCTCCTGGAGGAGTGAAGCACAGCCAGGGGTATAAAACCACACCCCTTGGAGGACTGTGGCAGACTGATACTTGGGACACCCAATGGATGACTGTGAGGTCAGGGGCGGGGCTAGCTCCAGGGTGGGGGTGCCCAGGAGCCCCAACAGCAGTTCAGAGCATGCGGTGTCCAGGAGGAAGCTACAACCGGTGAGTGGCTGCTTCTCCCCAGCTGAGACTTTCCTCCCACTACACCCCTCTTTCTGTCCACTTCCTGCCAGCCTGTAGCCCTCTCCGTGAAGTGTCCAACTAGTAATCCTCCCTCCTATGGGGTCCATACTCATGGTGAGCCCACACCTAGGAATATGCCTGCTGGGCACTGCAACACTTAGGTGCGTCTCTTTATATCTGGGTTCCCAGTTTTCTTAAAAGCCAATGTGGTGGTTTTGATGTGTGATAAATTTCTGCCTTGTTCGGTTCTGTCCTTCTGTTCTTCACTTTTGGCTTATGAAAAACAAAATTGAACCGTCTCCTTATCCTAATCTTGAGAGGAAATAGCCTCTCCCTCTATAGTTCCCATTTCCCTTTCTCTGGCTTCCTCAAGGGTCAAAGCCTTCTCCAAAGCCTCTCCATCTTCGGATGAGGAGCCTTCTCTCCTGTGGCTTCTGACCTGCTCTCTTATCTCACTGCATGGGAGTCTTCGGCCTCTTCCAGTTCCTTCTCTGAGGATGGGTTCTAGAAGTTTCGTCCTCAGGGAGATGATTGATTGATGCCTTAGAGCCTGCCCTCCTGCAGTTACGACCCCTGTCTTGCTGCCCTTTCTTCCTCTCGGGACCCTCAGCTCCACATGATGGGCTTGCAGGGGGAGGACACACTAGCTTTCTAACCTCACCCATGAAGCTGTGTCTTGCTCCATCCCTAACTTCCAGGGCTGACTGGGTTTTGTGGTGATCTTCTTGTCTGGAATGAGGAGAGCATGACCTACTCAGAGGTCTTTCCCTGCAGAGGAGCTTGGAGAAGCAGAAGTATCAGTGTTTGCTATCCTTTAAGTCAGACATTGCCAACTGGCAGGACCCATCTATACTAGTCTTAAATCCACTACTTGAGATAGTTCTTAACTGTCTGGTCCTTGCTCTTTAAGTCCTGAATTTGGTCTAATTTCCATTCTCCCACCACCCCACCTCCACCCCTGGCCCCTGCTATGATTCTGGATAAGCTCAGGTCCTCTCTCGGGTCAGTTTATCTGTTCCATTCAGGACAGAGAGCTCTGATTCAGAACCAGCAACTCACTCTTTCTCCCCTCACCTCCACAGGCTTGAGAATATGCTGTTCCTGCCTCCCCTTTTCACCATGGACCCCACACTGTGGCCCTTCTCTCAGAACCTCTGAGATTGGTACCCAGGCAAGGCACAATGCCCACGTCCCCAACAAGACTGCCTAGTCCCTATGGCTCTGATCGGCTGGTACGGCTAGCAGCCAGGCTCCGGCCAGCACTATGTGATACCCTGATCACAGTGGGGAGCCAGGAGTTCCCTGCCCACAGCCTGGTGCTGGCAGGTGTGAGCCAGCAACTGGGTCGCAGGGGTCGCTGGGCTCTGGTGAAAGGCATCAGCCCTTCCACCTTTGCCCAACTTCTGCACTTTGTTTATGGGGAGAGCCTAGAGCTGCAACCTGGGGAACTGGGGCCCCTTGAGGAGGCAGCCAGAGAGTTAGGGGTGCAGTCCCTGGAAGAGGCATGCATGAGGGCTCGAAGAGATACGGCCAGAGAAGAGCTGGGTCCAGGGCTGAAGGAACAACAGGAGGCGCCAGAGAAACGCACAGGGGATTCTATGAGAGGAGCGGGGGTCTTTGGAGAGAAGCAGAGGCCACAGAAGTTTGTTAGAGCTGGCGGGGAAGAACAGGAGACGCTGCACAGGCACAGGCCACCAAGAGAGGGCCCTGAGACGGCAGAGGCAACTCTGGAGGAGCAAGGGGAGCAGATGAGGCCAGAGGAGAGACTCAGCCAATCCCCTGTTGGCCGCGGAGGAGTAGATGGGAAGCAAGAAGTGATCATGTGGGTGAGGGACAGTCCAGGGGGCTCTGAGGAAAGTCTGCGGGAGTTCCCTGGCCCCCTTCCCCCACCAGGTTCCCTCCAAACCGGCATCACCCCTAGGCCCTGGTGGGCTGAGGCCCCTTGGTTGGGGGAGGGCCAGCCTGCCCTGTGGAGCATCCTGCTGTTGCCGCCCAGATATGGCACTCCCTTCTCCCATAGCACCCCCATGACTGCAGCCCAGCAGGAGGTCTGGCCTCGGGACCAGAGGTGAGTTGAAGGGCCTATGGAAGACCTCCGGCTGGGAGGGAGTGGCTTAGGAGAGGCAGCAGTGAAGGGTGGAAGTGCACCACATCTCTTATCTCTACTATACATTTCCTGAGCTGGGGAAAGGACAAGAAGCTCCCACCACAGGGAAACCCAAAGCCCAGCCCCTGAGGACTCATGACACCTCCCTCTCCAGAAAGGAATTGGCCAGGATCCCAGGTGTAGCCAAAGCTGTAACTCTTCCCCATCCCACTCCCAGGATCCCACTGTCCCTGAACCTCCACAAAGGCCTCTGGAGCCAGAACCAGTTGGCCTCCTGCAGCCCCACCCCAGGTAAGCCCCTCATTGCCCTGCATGCACCCCGTAACATGTTCTCTCAGCTGGGGCTGAGGCTGGGGCTCCAGGAGTCCAGCCTGAGCAGAGCCCCTACTTCACTCTGCTCCCTTCAGGTTCCCTCCCCCAGGGCCCCACACAGCTCAGCCCTGGGGAGATGGAAGAGTCTGATCAGAGGCACACAGGTGAGTAGGGGGAGGGCACTTTTGCTTCAGCCCCACTGTAGCCCCTGATGTCTTGCCTTGAGTGTTCCAGTGATCCGGCTCTGGGATTCCCAGCCCTGCCCTCCTTTGCCTTTTGTTGCCACAGGTGAACTTGCAACCTGTGTGGGTCATGTGGGCACAGCAAGCCACCCATCTCACCAACACCCTCCCCCACCCCCTCCTGCTCGGTCTCGGCCCTATTCTTGTTCTGTCTGTGGAAAGAGGTTTTCACTCAAACATCAGATGGAGACGCACTACCGTGTCCACACAGGTATGGGCGCCCTGCCCTGTGTGAATTGTCTACCTCCTTCCAAACTCCAGTGGGCCCGCTCCTAAGTCCCTCTCTGAGTGTCTGGCTACCCCACAACGACCTTGCCCAGTTGCCCCAATCTACCCCTAGGCCAGCCTTCGCTCCTTTCCTCTTTCCTTCATGGGTCTTCCCCTCCACCTGCCCTAGGAGAGAAGCCCTTCTCCTGTAGCCTCTGTCCCCAGCGCTCCCGGGACTTCTCAGCCATGACCAAGCACCTGCGGACGCATGGGGCCGCACCCTACCGCTGCCCTCTGTGCCAGGCCGGCTGCCCCAGCCTGGCCTCCATGCAGACGCACATGCGCGGCCACTCGCCCAGCCAGCTCCCGCCGGGATGGACCATTCGCTCCACCTTCCTCTACTCCTCCTCCTCCTCCTCGAGGCCATCTCGGGCCTCGACCTCTCCCTGTAGGCCCCCTTCCTCAACCACCTGACAGGGTGTCAGTAGCTTCTTTGGCTTCAGCCAAGCGTACAGAATGAAAGATGGGCCGGCGGGCCTGCTAGGCTTCTGACCTCGCACCGCGGCTACGGCCGCCTAGCAAACTCTGCTCCAAGAAGCGTCGCAGGAAGGGCGCCAAGAGCCCTCTCCCAGATGACCGCGGGCCACAGAAACCTGGGCCAGCGAGCCCGTGTGGGGTGAGGGCAGTGAAGTGTGCACGAGTGAAGGTTAACTGTGCGGGGACTTGCGGTTCATCACCAAAATAAAGAGTTTCCTGTGCCCTCCTCTCGGGACCAGAAAGCCGAGTCCGGACTTTAGCCTGCGGGCGGGGGACAGCCTTGCCCCTAGTCCTGTAGCGGCCCCTGGTGGTTCATCGCGGCGGCCACCTCCTCCGTCTCCCGGGGCTCCCTCTCCTCCCCCAGAGGCAGAGGGCCGCGAGGACTCGGCGTCCAGGCCGACTTAGCCCTGTGTGGGGAGGCTGTCAGAACCCAAGTTACCCGTCCCTTCCACAGCAAGCAACTGCGCGCGGAGTCTGAGTCTGGGCCTCCAGCCGGAGGCTCGAGAGGAACGCGTGCTCCGCCCTGCTTTCGGCCACCCTCCTCCTTTCCTAGAGCACAAGAGCCGAAAGGCCGCAGCCTCTCCAGCATCCTCCCTCCAGGCTGTACGAAACGGCTGCCGGGTTTAGCTCCGAACTGAGACTAATCTTTTGCCGCCGCCCCTTACCCAGCCCACGCCTCCTGCAGTACCGAACTTCATTTTCCAGCGTCTCTGGTGTTCCCAGGGTCCGAGGCCCACCGCACTCTGGGAGTGGTAGTTCACACGGGCCGCTGGCCTCGACAAGAACAATGGGAGGAGTCTGGGTCAAGAACCACATCTCCCGGTGGCCCCGGAGATCGCTTTCTGGGTCGGGTCAGGACCCCATAGTCCCAGCTCTCGCGGCCCTAGCTCGCCAGGAAGGAGCGAGGCGCTCGAACTACATTTCCCAGAGGGCCCTGCGCCTCATCCTCTCCCGCCGCGACGCGGGGGTCTATGCTCTTCAGATGCGGTCTAAGGGTGACGGCCGGCAGGCCTCGGACTCCCGCTCCCGTGGTGCCCCGCGCGCGGCCGGCCCAGCCCCCGGCTCCCGGCGACCCCGCGGCGGCGCTGGTGGTTGTCGTGAGCCGCCGCCGCCCCGCCCCTCCTCTGCTCCCCTCCCCCCCGGCCCTGCTTACGGGCCGCCCCTCCCCCCGCCTCCCCGGCCCCTCTCACGGTGCCAAGATGGCGGCAGCGGCGGGCGGCGGCAGTTGCCCCGGGCCTGGCTCCGCGCGGGGCCGCTTCCCGGGCCGGCCGCGGGGCTCTGGCGGGGGCGGGGGCCGCGGCGGACGGGGCAGCGGGGCCGAAAGAGTGCGGGTAGCTCTGCGGCGCGGCGGCGGCGCGGCGGGGCCGGGCGGAGCCGAGCCCGGGGAGGACACGGCCCTGCTCCGTTTGCTGGGGCTCCGCCGGGGCCTGCGCCGGCTCCGCCGCCTGTGGGCCGGCCCGCGCCTTCAGCGGGGTCGGGGCCGGGGCCGGGGCCGGGGCTGGGGCTGGGGCCCGAGCCGGGACTGCCTGCTGGAGGAGGAGAGCAGTGACGGGGAGTCCGACGATGAGGTGAGGCAGTCGGAGGCGTCCCCATCGTCGGGCGGGGCGGAGGTGGGGGGCTTCCAGGGGTCTGGGTGGCCCCGAGGGGTGGCGTGGGGAAGCGTGGTCCTCAAGGCCTCCTGAGGAGGGAAAGGGCCCTGGAAATAGGCATGGGAGGAGGTAGGCTACACGGGAGCTGTCGGAGGAAGAGGCCTCTGAAAGTGGATAGAGAAGCCCGGGCTGCAGCTGGGCACTTGGGCCCGAGGCAGGTCCTGCTGAAGTGTCTTGGGCTGATTCTTCTTGGTAGTTGGCAAATCCAGGGCAGGAGAGGTTTGGGCTAGGAGGCTGTGGGGACTGCACGCCCAACCGGTGGTTGACAGCAGCAGCGTGGCTCGAGTGGACCCAGGCTAGGGCTCTCTGGGCTCTTACCTGCAGGCTGCCCCGCCTGGCCGCATAACCTCCGGCACATCCCTGATTTCACCAGCGCCCCAATTCTTTTTCTGACTTAAAGTGGAGAGAGGGTAAAATGGTGGAGGTCTTCCTCTTGGGGGCACAGGTTGAAGAGAAATGGAATGCAGGATGTGACTGGGCACTCTAGCAGGTCTGAGTTCAATTCAGGATTTATCACCAGTCTCTCAGAAAAGGCAGGAAGGTGTGCGTTTTATTACTTAGGACAGTTTGTAGCCACCTGAGGACTCAGGGCAGATTATAATATGATAAACCGCTTGATACACACACACACACACACACACACACACACACAAACACACACCCTGCTTGGGTGCCCCAATTCCCATTTTCACTGAGGAAGAAACTACAGCCCGAGAGGGTATAAGCAGAGGTTCCACTTTTTTCTCAGTTGGAGAATGAGGGAATCTGAGGGTAGTGCCTACTGCCTGATCTGAGGAGACCCTCTTCTGTTCCCTTTGAACCAGTGAACCACTGATGGCTGTGCTGGTGTGGTCTGGAACGGGGTGCAGGTTCAATATACCCTCTGCCTCCATCCCTAGGAGGAGACCGTCTTTTCTTTTCCCCTCACTTTCTAGTCTTTTTAGTTCTTTTGTAAATAGGGATATGTTAAGGGGGAAGCTGGGGATATTCCTCGGAACCTGAGTCTCACATGAAACGAGGGCTTTGGCACTGACTGCTGTTTCTCCCCTCCACCCCTGGTCCCCTAAATCAGGAGTTTCAGGGTTTTCATTCAGATGAAGATGTGGCCCCCAGTTCCCTGCGCTCTGCGCTCCGATCCCAGCGAGGTGAGTGACGGGGAAACTCTACCTCTATAGCTTTACAAGAATGTTATTCTTGCTTTTCGTGTCAGCTCTTCCCTGTTCAACTAGAGTCTTCATCAGTTACCAAGTGTGTTCTGTGTTCAAAGCTCAAGCTAGGCTGGGCTGTCGGGGAAACAGACAAGACTTAGTCCCTGCCCTCCTGGAGTCCCTCAGTCTGCAGGGCTACCTTGACCCATCTCCCCACACCTATTCTCCTTTTAGGTCGAGCCCCCCGAGGTCGGGGCCGCAAGCATAAGACGACCCCCCTTCCGCCTCCTCGCCTAGCAGATGTGGCTCCTATCCCCCCAAAGACTCCTGCCCGGAAACGGGGTGAGGAGGGCACAGAACGGATGGTGCAGGCACTGACTGAACTTCTCCGGCGGGCCCAGGCACCCCCAGCCCCCCGGAGCCGGGCATGTGAGTCCTCCACCCCCCGTCGGTCTCGGGGGCGGCCCCCAGGACGGTCAGCAGGCCCCTGCAGGAAGAAGCAACAAGCAGTAGTGGTGGCAGAAGCAGCTGTGACAATCCCCAAACCTGAGCCCCCACCTCCTGTTGTTCCAGTAAAACACCGAACTGGCAGCTGGAAGTGCAAGGAGGGGCCCGGCCCAGGACCTGGGACCCCCAAGCGTGGAGGACAGTCTGGGCGAGGAGGCCGTGGAGGCAGGGGCCGAGGCCGAGGCGGGCTCCCCCTCGTGATCAAGTTTGTTTCAAAGGCCAAAAAAGTGAAGATGGGACAATTGTCCTTGGGACTTGAATCAGGTCAGGGTCAAGATCAACATGAAGAAAGCTGGCAGGATGCCACTCAAGGAAGAGTTGGGTCTGGACAGGGAGAGGGCCCCTGCTGGAGGAAGGAGCAGAAGCTGGAGGAGGACGGAGAGGAGGAGAAAGAAGGCAAAGACGAGGAGGAGGAAGAGAAGGAAGAGCGAGCTGTAGCTGAGGAAGAGATGGTGCCAGCTGAGGAAAAGGAAGAGGCGAAGCTGCCGTCACCACCCCTGACTCCTCCAGCCCCTCCACCTCCTCCTTCCCTCCCACCCTGCTCAACATCTCCTCCATCCCCACTTTGCCCTCCACCACCCCCAGTGTCTCCTCCGCCCCCACCATCCCCTCCACCGCCTCCTGCCCCAGAGGAGCAGGCAGAATCCCCTCCTCCCGTGGTCCCAGCTACATGCTCCAGGAAGAGGGGCCGGCCTCCCCTGACTCCCAGCCAGCGGGCAGAGCGGGAAGCTGCTCGGGCAGGGCCAGAGGGCACCTCTCCTCCCACTCCAGTCCCCAGCACCACCACAGGAGGTCCTCTGGAAGACAGCCCCACTGTGGCCCCCAAAAGTACCACCTTTCTGAAGAACATCCGACAGTTTATCATGCCCGTGGTGAGTGCCCGCTCTTCCCGTGTCATCAAGACGCCCCGGCGATTTATGGATGAAGACCCGCCCAAACCCTCAAAGGTGGAGGTCTCACCTACTCTACGGCCTCCTGTTGCCACCTCGCCACTCGCACCCCAGGAACCAGCGCCAGCCCCGTCTCCACCACGTGCCCCAACTCCTCCACCTACCCCAGCCCCACTCCCTGAGAAGAGACGGTCCATCCTAAGGGAACCCACATTTCGCTGGACCTCACTGACCCGGGAACTGCCCCCTCCTCCCCCTGCTCCTCCACCAGCCCCACCCCCGCTTCCTGCACCCGTCACTCCGTCCCGGAGGCCCCTGCTCCTTCGGGCCCCTCAGTTTACCCCAAGCGAAGCCCACCTGAAGATCTACGAATCGGTGCTTACTACTCCTCCTCTTGGGGCCCCTGAAGCCCCTGAGCCAGAGCCACCTCCTGCCGATGACTCTCCAGCTGAGCCTGAGCCACGGGCAGTGGGCCGCACGAACCACCTCAGCTTGCCTCGATTTGCCCCTGTGGTTGCCACTCCTGTTAAGGCCGAGGTGCTGCCTCCTGGGGCTCCAGCTCCAAGCAGTGGGCAGCAGCCTGAGGCTCAGCTGCAGCAGCCTGTACAGGCCTTGCACAGCCAGCTGCTGCCTCCAGCGCTCCCACCACAGCAGTCACAACTACAGCCGCAGTTACAGCTGCAGCCGCCGCCACCGCAGCAGCCGCCACCACTGGAAAAGGCCCGGACTGCAGGCCTGGGTTCCCTACCACTGTCTGGTGTGGAGGAGAAAATGTTCAGCCTCCTCAAGAGAGCCAAGGTGCAGCTAATCAAGATCGACCAGCAGCAGCAGCAGAAGGTGGCATCTTTGATGCCGGTGAGCGTGGTACTTGGGCCATGCCCCTGCACCCAGCCTCAATTCTCTGCAACCCCTGAACCTCGTTCCCTCCCTAGACACCCTCCAGCATTGCAGGGAACCTTCAGAGCCAGTCCTTCCCCTGTCCCCCAGCTTCCTGTGTTCCTTCCCTGGCCCCATCCCTTCCCAATGCTAGTCTCCTGGCCCCATTTTTCCTCGCTCTCTAGCCTCTGACCCTGTTTATTCCCCCACCAGTCAAGCCCTGGAGGGCAGATGGAGGAGGTCGTGGGGGCTGTCAAGCAGATCCCAGACAGAGGTTCTGTCAGGTCTGAAGATGAATCGATGGAAACTAAGAGAGAGAGACCGTCGGTATGGAGTGGGAAGAAGGCCCTCTGAAGAAGGCTGGTTGCGGGGCCACAAGGGGCAGTGCTCCACATATGTTCCTGCTTTCTCCTCCCCCCAGGGCCCCGAGTCCCCTGTGCAAGGCCCCCGCATCAAACATGTCTGCCGTCACGCTGCTGTGGCCCTTGGTCAGGCCCGGGCCATGGTACCCGAAGACGTCCCCCGCCTCAGTGCTCTCCCTCTCCGGGATCGGCAGGACCTCGCCACGGAGGGTAGGGGCGGGCATGTTGGGAAATTTGACAGCTGTGTCAAGTTTGGGGGCAAGTGAAGGCATCAAGAACCTGGGAGAATGGCAGCTGAGTCGGGTGCTTGGGGCCAGGTGGCAAGTGGGTTGGAGTGCTAGGTCTTAAGCAGATTTGGGAGCACCTGGAATGGGAGCACTGTGGGAAAGTGGGGACCAGAAGGCCAGTTGAATGGAATCTAGGGGAGGTTAGGGAAATGAGGTAGAACTCCTGGTGGCTTTGTGGCTCCATCCCGGCCTCTCCGCTGCACTAGATACGTCGTCAGCATCTGAGACTGAGAGCGTCCCATCTCGGTCCCGACGGGGAAAGGTGGAGCCAACAGGGCCTGGGGGAGACTCAGAGCCTGCGGGGTCTGGAGGGACCCTGGCACATGCACCCCGGCGCTCACTGCCCTCCCATCATGGCAAGAAGATGCGGATGGCACGGTGTGGACACTGTCGGGGCTGCCTG